GACCCATCTAGAAGGCATGCTAAGATAGCGACGCCGGCCGACCCGCGGCCAGAGTCTCGCCCGGCCCCGCCCACGCAGAGGCGGACATCAGCTGTTTCGGCCACCGCCCGCGCGAAGAAGTCACAGCGCGCATCCCCCCGCGGGCCCCCCTTGTCCAATACAAGGTTCGCCGCGCGATCGGCAAGACCATTGAAACGGCGAGGGCCCTGCAAAATGCATTCGGACACGCCGGCGAGCGGCTTCGCAGCTCTGGAGAACAAGCCCCCCAAACAACGCGCGATGCGAATGCGCACCGGGCGCAACGACTGCCATTTCAAGGCAGCCCTGCCGGCAAACAGTTCAGCGACCTGTTTGTTGTCAGTCTGCACCCGCAAGGGCGCGCGGCAAAATTCCCATTCGGCCTCGCGGGGGTTAGCTGGGAACACAGGAGCGGCGCACAGAGGCGCGCTGAGTTTCACCGCGCGGGGCGCGCGGGCAATCTCGCCACTCGGGGCGCTCAGACCAGGAGAAGGCATCGACCAAAGACGGCTGGGATCCATGCAAAGTCCGGAAAACCGCCCATCCACTGTTTCATGGCGCAGCCGTCGCGCCAGGTTCTCCAGCGAATGTCCCGGACATCTACGAAGGAACGCCCCCAACTGGGCCGCTGGGGACCGCTGCGCCCGCGAACCAACCCAAGCTTCCGTCTTCTGCGCGCCGGAGAAATAACCGCTGCAACGCCCCGCCAAACTTGCGCCCTGAAAGACAGCGCCAACTGCAGCGGGCACGTCTTTACGTCGAGGCAGCCTCGAACTTCGAGCCGCGATGATTCTGCGAGAACCGGCAACAGACGAGTTTAATAAGCCCACAGGAGGTACCCATGTGGAAATCAGCATGGCTGTCCGGCGGTTGCACCCACATGGCCCTTCGCCGGGTCGCCGTCTGAGTCGCAGAGATGTTCGGAGCAACGTCAATTCCCACGCTCGGACCTGTCGAAGCAAAGTCGGAGTCAAATGCCAGCCGCCCGCGCTGCACTCTGCCACGGAAGCTGCAGATGTATTCCAGGCCAACATGCGTTTGGGATTGGTGCCAGCGGATTACCGAGCACACGCTGACGCGCGTAATAATGCACCTCTGCCTTCGCAAAGTTGCGCCCCGTGCTCCACGCTGGCTGGCGTAGAGCCCGCGCCGTCCAAGAAGTCGCTCAAGAGTTTGATGCCTTCTTTACATATGTACTGGATTCGGTCTCCCCCAGCCGCGAGAATGCTTAATCCGGCGTCGGCGCGCCGAGCCGCATCTGACATCGCGCATTCAAGTGGCTCGGTCTTCCATCCAAAAAAACCGCGCGCCATTCGCTTTCCGAACAACTGAAAAGACATTGTTGGAATCACCCATCATCTTCTGCATCATCATGCCACTATCTGCGGAGAGAACGAAGTTGTCGCGCCACACTGCATGGTTGAACAATGCTACATCCATGCCAATACCCTCCCAAACGCCGTCGTCGGGCAATCGAAATCCAAGGCCAAGTTCTGCCCAAACTGCGATCGAAGGCCCCGCGACGTGGTCCACCATCGCGCGCCACTCGCCAGGTGTCTCTACTCCACCTTGCTTTCCGCCCTGGCCAACATAGAACTTCTGAGCGCACCCCGCGCTTGGGGGGTCGATGACGGCATCGAGCCCAGTGAGCTCTTGCACGCGGAGCGCTGCTGTGCGTGGACCCCCCCGTGCCAGCATAGAAAATGCAATCCGCTCGCGCGGCGTAGCGTCGAAGGCCGCCTTGAAGCATTGCCCTGAAAGTGACTAGAGACAAACCCCATTCGCGCGCCATGTAGCGAAGCTTCCGGGCCAAGCTGGTTACCTCTATAGTCGCGGCCCCTTCCTGGAATCTATGGGAGCGCACGGCTGACTTGCGAACGCTGCTGCGCAGCGCGGGCCGAAGCGCGTGCAAGTACCACTTCTGCAGCGCCGGCGATTTGCAAATCCACTGTAAATCTGTAAGGGGCCCTGCGAACGTGTCCACGGGGATTCCAAAGAAGAGCAACGCCCGCCAGAAGACCGGATCGCCCTTGTCCCCCACGTAAGCAACCCTGTCTTTGAACAGGCGGTGCACGTGGAAAATGCCAGCCACGGATAATTGACGGTACGTATCTGGAGGAGTTCCGTCGCAACCTGCCGCTGCCCCTGGTTTCAATTTTGCTGTCGCTTGTAGTGCATCCCACGGTTCCAACTTCATTCCCAGGCCGTCCAAGATATCGCTCTTCGCCTCGGATCAGAGTTTTTCAAATCGAACGCGGCGGGTGGCCGGTGAATTCCCTTCGCCCCCAAATCTGCACGCGCCGAGAACGACGGCTTCATGGGCCCAGTCCTCCCTATCGCAAGAAGTTTGGCCACGCACTCTGAAGTGCGGGGTGGTAAAAGAATCGCGGCCTCCAGATTTCATCAAGCTTCCAAGGTTCCCCATGGCGTTCAACTTCCTCACCGCGTTGAGCGACTTCCGAAAACATGCCCACTGGGCACTGGTGCGTTGCGGATCCGCTTCAAAACGAATAGCGGCCCTGATGCGTTCCAGATGGCCCCTGCAGTCCGCGCGAGAAGATCTCACGCTGCAGGAACGGTCCATGTCGTAGAATTATTCTGCAGTTTCTTTCAGCATCATTTCAAACGCCAACTAATCCAAAGCCTGAAAAGTAACTCCAGCCACCACCTTTTGGACACCAAAGCGAACCTTTTCGCCCTGTATGTTCATCTTTTGTAAAATCCTGGTAGTCCGAGCTTCAATCCTCGCGCTCCGTTGCACGGTTGTTTTAAAACTAAGTTCGGTACGCACTGCTCGATGATCCATCTTAGCGCGCAGAGGCTCTTCGGCGGCAATGCCCAAAGAATTCGCGGGCCGCCCCGTGCCGTTCAAGCACCAAGTGGCGCCAATGAAATCAATGTGCGATCTCTGGATCCTCCGTCGCTGCACCCCGCGCGCCCATACTGCGCCACTGCCCGTGCCCTCCCCGAACGCGCTTGTAGCCCGGGGCCCGAGCGCCCCCATCCATTCGAGAATGCGCTCTTGCATGCCAGGCGCGTGGGATTTCAGCGGTTGCCCCACTGCTGCGCTCGTGACGTTGGGCATGTCAGCTGGGAGCGGGACGTCGGCGTCGAAGCGAGCAATACTTGAAATAGAGCAGGAAAAACGCGACTTGCAATGAAGCCAATACGACGTGGTCTCCGCGCAAACCTCCTCGAAGAAGTCCACGCCAGAGTCACGATTAGAATATGTAAAATGCATGGCCAACACCAAGATGTAACCACTAGGGCCCGTAGAGGACACCATACCTCCCCAGCAGCGGCCGCAACGTTCGTCCTTGATCATCGGATTCAGGCTTCTAGGCACCAGGAAACCACAATCGAATCCACCCCGATTGGCCCGTTCGTCCTCCTTGGAGCGGCCGGCGTGCACCACGAATTGTTCTCTCTGCAAGACCCGCGCAGTCGTCCAGCGAGGGAACTCCTGCAAGCAGATGATCGACGTTCCCATCCCCAGACGTCGGAGGCTCCGAACGATCCGAAACACTTCGCATGATCGCTGCTTATGCACGTTGCACGTGACTACTGCCACCGAGCAGCGCCCCTCGGAACCACTCGAATTAAGAGACTGTGGGCCACCCTAGTTGCGGCGTCGGCGGCGAAACGCCGACACCGCTTCATTCGCCGCCCTCTCGCACGTTGCTTCTAGATGGGCTGGCGGGGATACTTTTTTGGTTCGCGGCTCCAAGGCGATGGACAGGGAGCGGGCGCAACGTCCGGGGCGCGGTACGATGTCAATTGGCCGCAGTGGCGCATGCACATGCCAGGGACAAAATGCCCCTCATTGAGACGCAAGACAGCGTCGGCAGGTGACCGGCCCAGACATCCCGGCAGGTGGGGAAGCAAAGGCGCGGCGACCGGCAGCGGAACGGGGGGGAGAAGTCGCCATTGCGGCGCCAAGCTCCAGCCGAACCACATTCGGAAGCGAGGCCAAGACGGACAGCGGGGCACTGTAAAGCCGCAGGCAGAACGCGGATCCGAATGGCCAAAGACCAAGCGAAGCCCACGTGCGTGCACCCAGGGACAGGCCGTCCAAGACCTCGGAAAAGAGAGGAGGGGAGAGTGCGAGCGCGAGCGACTAACTGAGACTCACTGCAGCACCCCGGGCAAACGATGGTGCGGCGAAAGAGGCCTGACTCATCAAGGCTCACTGAAGCTGAAATGTGGCTGATCCGCGTCAGAGCGCCATCCAGTAGAGGAAGACCACTGGTGTGCGCTCGCGAGGCTGAGCCATCTCCAGCGGGTAGCCAGCGCGTGCACATCGTATCCGACTCACGCAGTTCGGGGGCACAACGATGCGAAGTACTGATGAGGGCTGGTAGCTGGGGCTGCTCTGAAAGGATAACGGCCACGAACTGCAGAAGGCTGAACAACTCACTGCAGGGCCACTCACTTGGCGAAGCCAATCACCAGGTGTCACAGAGTGCACGGCTGACGGCCGCACCCACTCCACACCTGCCACGCTGCCCGTGCGGCAATGGAATACCCCGACGCTGGTGGCGAGACGATGGCTGGTGGCTACCGAGTTGCTGGGCCGTACCGCTCGTAGGCGGCGTGCTGACGGCGGGCCAAGACGTCCTTGTGGTAGAACCATGGCCGGGTCGGCGACGGACCATGGCGGGTCTCAGGCAAGAGGGGGGCGCAGCCAAAAGCCGCTGAGCACCGGTGTCAATGAGGGGTGTCGGGGCACCATCCAATAAGAGACCACTGGTGTGCGTGCACGAGGCTGGCAACCACCAGCAGGTAGCCGGTGCACTTACATCGTATCCGACTCACGCAGTTCGGGGGCACAACGATGCAATGTCCTGGCGAGGGCTGGGGCTGTGGCTGCGCCGAGAAAACGAACTTGGACCGCGGAAGGCTGAACCACTCGATGCGGGGCCGCTCACTTGACGAAGCCAAACACCATGTGTATGGTGGACAACCACACCCACTCAACACCTGCCACGCTGCCCATGCACAAGCCGGATGCGTCAGACGCCAGGGCAAACCGGTGGCTGGCAGCTGCCGAGCTGCTGGGCTGTACCGTGCGCTGGCGGCCTGCTGACGTGCCAAGGCGTCCTTGTAGTAGAGCCATGGTTGGAGCGGCGACGAGGGACCGATACGCCCTGGGCAAGTCTCAGGGCGGACGCTCTTCATCAGCCGATGCAATCTACGCTGTTTTTGCTGGCGGGGATACGCGAAGCGCCAAGAATTGCAAAATACAGTTAGAGACTGCGGGAGCGGTAGATCTTCCCACATGTGACGAAGCGGCAGCAGGGGCACGACCACCACTCCCAGACATCGACACCATTATCACGGTGTTCGACCCGATTCAAAACACCACTTCCTTGAGCATGCTGTACGGCCCGCTGGCGATGTCGCGCGCCGCGCGATGGGGCTGTCGCAAGCCGGAGGGCCATCAGATCAAGCGCTTAGTTGCGAGCAAATCCCTTCAGGCCCAGTCTATACAATGGACCATGTGCGTTTGCAAATGGCAGTACGACGACGACTGCGATGGCCGCTCCCGCTGTGGGGGGGGGAGCGCAGCTGCACTTGCAGACGCTATTCGGATGCTCTTAGGGATCGCGCAGCATCGTGCCCGCGCTCTAGAAGGCTGAAGCGGGGGATCTACCCCAATCGAGCACATCTGGGCGAGAATCCTGAGGGAGACGAGCGCGCGCGTCCGAGGACGAGTGTGCCTACGGGATGCAGCGGTGCCAAAGACTGATCCAGCTGACGGTTGCCAGATCGTAGTAGTGGCTACGGGCCTCCATGTGGCACGAGGGGTTCCGCTGGCCATCGACGCTCCTATGGTATCGCCGCTGCATGCCGACTGCACCCCGCACGTCGACGCAGACACCGCTCCTGGAGAGGCCGCCCTACGGCCCATCGAGCCAGACATCCACCGCAAGCGGGTCGACGCCATCGCGGGCGTCGGCCTGCTCCAGGCCGAGATTCACCAGAGTGCCTGCAAGCGCCGCCTATCCTGCGACAGAATGCATGCCGAGCCAGCGGACTCGCCGAGCACGGGTCGCGGCGGCTCGCAGCGGCCTCGTGTCAGGTCGCGCTTGGGCCCAGGCTGCTTTGTCGAGGAGGTCGGACGCAGCTGCGTGGAGCTTCCCTCCCGTCTCCATCCCCACCACGACGAGGAGCAGGACGGGGCTCTCCACCAGCACGGGGTGAGTCGTCCGTTCAATTTGTTCTGCCCTCGCCAGTCCCCCCTCCTCCTCCGCCTCCTCCTTCTCCTCCTCCTCCTCCTCCTCCTCCTCCTCCTCCTACTCTTCCTCCTACTCCTCCTCCTCCTGAGGCTGCTTAGCCTGCCGCTGGCCGACTCGCCAGGCGTTTTCAGTGCATGGACTGTTGTGGCACTGTATCGGGTGCGTGCGGGGGAAGACGAATCATTGTGTTCGGGCTTGGACATTACTATTGCTCCCGCCACGGGTGTAATCGCATTCGACACAACATGGAGGGGATGCAGGCGCGAGAGAATTGCGGCACCGAATCGCTTCGTTCGATCGCGGGGAGTGGGTTGTGTCTTTTGCTACAACAACAGCAATAGCAACAGCAACAACAACAACAACAACAACAACAACAGCAACAACAACAACAACAACAACAACAACAACAACCAACACTGGCGACGACGACATCAACAACAACACCAAACACCAATTTGTCCGCGAGAACCGTGAACGTGAAGCCCAGAAACAACGACGTGAACAACCGAAAGGCCTCGCGAAATATGGGGTCACAAAAGGACAATGATGGATCGAAATGAAAACTAGCGGCCGGACTTCTTGCGTATCCAGGGCTCGCACCAGGCAGCGGCACCACTTGGGACCAACTACAGGACCTGGGAATCTGGCCGGAAGATCCAGATGCTCCTATTCCTGAAGAGGTGACTGGTATAAGTAACCCAAGCCCAGGGCTCCTAGATCAGAACGTTCTCGCCCGAGTCCTCCGAACATCAAGGAAAGGGTTCAGTGCTGGATGGTGGGGAGCACGATGGGGATATTACAACATCGGTTGGGAAGACACGACGGACTACCGCCACGAGCAGAAGCCATTGCATACCTCGATGACAGTTACGTCGTTTGCGACCTAGATGAGCGTTGCTACGTGATCGACTTGGCGTGCCGAACACTGTCCACCTCGTGCCACATCGATGTGAATATTGGGAAACAATTTGAGACCCTGCTGCTGCACCATGCCCATAGGAACTCGCCAACCCTTCACCTGACGTGTGGAAATTCAACAAGCCATACAACGAACGAGGCATCAAGATTCTTGGGACACCGTCTGGAACCGAAGCTTTCGTGGAAGCATAGGGTGCACGGCCAGCTGATGAGAGGGAGAAGCTACTACGCTATATCCCGCAGCTCCCGTCCCTTCAAGCGCCGTGGCTCTTGCTATACTTTTGCGCTGTACCATGGGTAAGCCACCTGCTCAGGACACTGCTGCCGCGCCACGCGCGAGTTGCCACAGCTTCGCACGACGGTAATACGTTCGGCATCGCGATTTCTGACGCCTGGTGTTTCGATCTACACAGGGTTACGTACGACAATGTGGTGGCTCGGGCGTCCCTCCCCCTGCGGCTTGGGCGCATAGGCTTACCTGCTTCGGAAAGGACTGCTCTCGCGGTATTCTGGGCGGGCTGGGCAGAACCATCCCAGAACTTGTTGCAGCGATTTCCCGCCCTGGGGCAGCAATTGGCATTCCACCTCACGAAATCCAAGCTACCGCTGCAGACCAGGCGCCCTGGGGGCCAGCGTGCACATGTAGGTTGGGCAGAACGACCTGCACGGCATGAGATTAGCAATCAACCGCTGGCCTCCTGAGGCCCTGGCACAAGGGGGGACCCCTTTAACTCTAGGGGAATGTGCGCATGGATGGAAACTCCACGCACCCAACGTCCTGGCAAGAATCGGCGCACGACCAGCTTCGGCGGACATTGCCAGCACAACGCTTCAGAATAGATGCAGCCACGCGTGGAAGACTACAGCTACTACCATGCATGGGTCCATATGCCGGCGCGCGGTCAACAGTCTGCCCGACGACCCCCGCCACGACGTGCAGCAACGATCAATGGAGGCGCACGGTGCGGCGACGACTGTGAATTGCAGCGATATGTTTTGTTTATGTGTTTTATGTTTGTCTTTTTGTTGTTTTTGTTGCTTGGATTCCCCCGATTTGCCGACAACGACGGGGCCCGCCTCCATGCGCGGCATACACGAAGCAATGGCGGCGGCGTGGAGCCAAGTACTTCCGGAGGCTCGGGCCAGCGCACAAGATCGTAATGTCGAGCGTCTCCTCCGAGACATTCATGTTCAAGTGCCAGCTGGGGACATACGGCGACTCGATCTCACTGACCCAAGGTTCTCAGTAGCTCTGGGTGTGCCGCTGTTTTGCGGAGTGTGCGCGTGCTTTCCCCGATCCCCCGCAACGGCAGGCCCCGTCTGGGAACGAGCAACGAAGGAGGGCGTTTACTGACGAACCACAAAAAAAAGCCACCCAACAAGAGGTTGTGATGACAGGGTTAGGGGAACTGTTGCCATCGGGATCTGGGGTGCATAGATGATGGGGGAAATTATCCACATGGCTGACACTTGCTCTAGCAAATGAAAACACGCGCGGCATGCACGCACGCGTCCGCAAAGACATTGCTTCAGGCCTCCTCCACAGATGGTGGGGGCTATTCGGTAGTGCCTTTCAATATGTCGTCGCGCATATTATTTTACACGACGAGGCCGACTTGCAGGACACACCGTCAAAAACAATACGGTGCGCAGAGGTGAGAGCCAAAGCAACCGCCTGGCTTCATCCTCCGCACTCCGCCCATTCCTCCTTTTCCACTTTCCCCTCCGCATCCTCTTCCTTCGACGGCGGGCTCAGAAACTTCGCTCCTTGGCATTTTCAGGCTGACTCCGAGCTTGGGCTTAACGGCTGACTCACGTGTACGTTTCACTAGATGCTCTAAACTTCCATGATCAGGGCAACTTGTCTGGGTGGGCTGGTGGGGAAACGTGAGGCCGCAAGAATGTCCAAGCCACCATGGAGTCGACTGTGTTCCCAACGTCCAACAACTGGTGAACAACTTGCTTGTTGCCTGGACCTTCCCCACCCAAGACGACCCCAATGCATTCCAAGAGGCCTTCCTGGAGGCCTCGCAAAACACCCAATGTGCGATAGCGGGATGGGCTGGAAGCCGTCTGATTGACGCCGCCCCCTCCAAGCGGGTGTTCAAGACGGCTCCTGTGTCCATCAAATCAGTCCATGATATCCGACGCTCCAGGAAAGGAGGCCCTTCCTGGGTGGAGGGGACGGCGGCGAGTCGCCGTGGGCGTCTTCGATATTTGGGCCATCGTCTTCTCCATGACGTGTCAAGCATCGCGCATATTTTCATCGGCAAGTCTGCGCTACGCGCGGACCAGCACGATGCTCTCGCCACTATCATCATTGGTCGGCTTGCGCGTCGCAGACAATACTCCGAAGCGCGTGAACAGGCGAGCACTGACAAGAGGAAGGAAACATTGGAGGGGGAGGAGGAAGGACGTAGAAGGGACGAGGAATGAAAGAGGAGGGAGGGATCTAGTATATAGAGAAAGCAAGGAAGTAGGAGGGAAAGTAGGGAAGCAGGAGGGATGACGGCAGGAGTGAGGAAACATGTGGGAAGGAGGAAGGAGGAAGGGCATGCTGAGGGAGGAGCCAGGCAGTATGCAGGATGATTACGACAAGGAGGACGAAAGGGGGGTAACTAGGGGAGAATGACCTGGACGCAGGGGGGACGTTAAGGGAATCATGAAAAGGAAGAAACGGATTAGGACGAGGACGATGATGATGATGATGATGATGTGGAAAAAGCGGCGGATAATAGCCGTGATGGTGGGGGATCTCGGACCCTCTCTGGAGCTGGGTAGGAGCACCCGGAGAGCTCCTCGAGCCACCTTGGCGGTCTTGAGAGGTCACGGGAGAGCAGGGATGGAGTCTCGAGGCTGTCTGAAGGAGCCTGGAGATCCCCCGAGGGCCGTCTTGGGCGGCCTCGGCGAAATTTTTCTTGGCGAGTCTTGAACCTGCACTGGAAACAGGACGGTCATGTATATGTCTCGAGAGCTCCGGGGAACCAATGTTTGCGAAGAGAAGCCGTTGTGCTTCTAGCCTCGACGGAGTCTCCTGGAGGGCATCTTGGGGGTCTGCGGAAGCCTCTTGGAAGCAGACTTGCCCCTCATGGGGGCCTCTTGGGCCTCTCTTAAACCGTTTTTGGGGTGCGATCGACACCCTCTCGGGCCATGTGGAGACCTTGCTGGACCGCCTTGAGGCGGGCGCAGAGAAGAGCGGAGCGAGAGGGAGAGCACGAGGGGAGGGACAGGGAGCAGGAGCAAAGGAGAGAGAGAGAGAGAGAGAAAAACAAAAAAAAGAGTAATGAGGAAGAGGGGAGGGGAGGGGAAGTCAGAGAGGTGGTCCAGGCTGCATCCTGTGCTCACGGCGAAGGAGTGGACTAGAAACAATCGCCGGCCCAACGGGCCAGAGGCGTGCTGAGATCTCCAGCAACATGTTAAGAGCATTTCTAGTTCGCGCTTGCGGGGCTGCCCCTGGGGGTCCCCAGACGAAAAGTTTCCCGGCAACGTCCTGGCAAGTTCCTCCGAAGGATGCGGAATCTCCCTGGGGCAACCTTCTGGACAATATGAGGCCCCTAAGACGGTCCAAGTGTGCCCCGAATCGCTGAAAGATCGGTCCACGACGCCCAAGATGGCCTCCAGTGGGCGGAAAAAGCAACCTAAGACATGCCAAGAGGCCTCCAAGAGCCTTCCCAAGAGGGCCCCGAGAGCCCAAACACATTGAGGTCCCTTATGTTTTTCAATGTGTTTGGGGTTCTCCACATTTCGAGCTTCCGACGCTCCAAGACGTCCCCAAAGGCCCCCAAGACCGCCCCAAAACGGCCCCAGAGGCTTCCAAGACGGCCTAAGAGGCATCGAAGACGGCCCAAGAGGACCCCAAGACGAAGCGAACCAGGAGGTCCCGAAGCGAACCAAGCGGAATGAGCTAAGCTGGCCCCCTGCGGGCCCTCACCGTGTTAGCCATCGATGGAGAATGATGATATGGATCATACTGTATGGTATTCGTTTATATCATATTCGGCCTATGTGCGTGGGAACTCGCTGAAAGGAGGAATGATGAGATGGAGGCTGATGGAGGAGAGTGGATGGCATACGCGAGGCATGCTTAAAGGGGCTTCGCGGAGTCTGCTGGCCGATTCTCCTCAGCGATAAATTAACCTGGTGAAAGACCCAACCATATGCAACTGTGAGCACCGCATTATGCGTAACGGATCGGTGGAGCTGCCTGTGGGGCCACGAAACGCGTGAGGGGTGATCCTCCTCCTCCTCCTCCTCCTGCTCCTCCCCCTCCTCCTCCTCCTCCTCCTCCTCCCCCCGCTCCTGCTCCTGCTCCTCCAACTCCTCCTCCCCGTGGAACCATGACACTGCCAACCAGCACCACAAACCAAAGTAAAACTCCCAAACCTTCTTTGGGGGCGGCGGCAGAGGCGGCAGCCTTTAAATCCGGCCGCTCCCGCCCTGCGGTGTGGGCCGTGCGAGACCACTCTGTCCGCGTGCCTGGCAGGATTCGCCAGTGTCTGGTCAAAACCTCTGGAATCCCTCCCAGGGGCCCAACCTCTGTCGGCGGTCCCTCACAGACCCCCCCTAGCTCAACGACTTGAGGGCCCCAAGACGACCCTACAAACGCCTGGGGGCGACCCACGAGCGCCCCAAGACGGTCCAAGAGAGCCCCACGACGGCCCTAGAGAGCATTCAGACGGCTCCAGATCGTTCCAAGACGCTCCAGATGGCCTCCAGACGTCCCAAGACGCCCCTGAGACGCCCAAGAGGCCTCCAAGATGCGTCCCAAGAAGGTCCCAAGACGCAGAAATTGCCCCATTCCTTTCAAAACACGTACATGTTTCAAAACTTAACTTTTTAGTTTTTCCGACGCTCCAAGACGGCCCAAGAGGCCTCCAAGACCGCCCCAAGACAGCCCAAGAAGCCTCCAAGAGGGCCCCAAGACGCCCAAAAGAGCCCCAAGACGGTCCAAGAGGCGCCCAAGAAGGCCCAAGAGGGCCCCAAGAAGAACCCAAGAGGGGGCCCGGAGGGGGGCCACGAACGGAAAGCTCGTGCCTTCCGCTCCAAGGACCGCCAGGAGGCCCAAAGAGGGCCCCAGGAGGCCTCAAGGAGCTCCCAGAGAGCCCCCCAAGAAACATTCGATGGGCCCATAAGCCCAAAAGAGGCCCAAAAGAAGCCCCAAGAGGCCCCCTAACGGCCCCGAAGAGGAGCCGAAGAGGCTTCAAAACTGCCTCCAAGAGGCTCCCGAGACGCTGCGTCAAACTCCCAGGGAGCGGCCGGTGATGCGCCGCCGACGTTCTCGATAAAACAACGACGGATGTACGCCCCCAGGCGATTGGGGCAGCTAAACGTACAAGTGAATTGGGCCTCAAGGCTCCTAGGAGATGTAAAACTGCGGATGAATCGCTCTTCTACTCTGATGGGAACCTCAATTCGGCACACACTCCTTGCACTTCGTGAGTGCTGGGCGCTCAGCTGGCCCCCGAGGCGGCTCCTTGGAGTCTCAATTCGGCACACCCCTCACGCACTTTGTGCCCCATGGACCCCAAAAGGCCCTTCGCTGGCCCCCAAGACCGCCCAATTCGACCGCCCAATTCCCCCAAGGGGCGCAAATACAGCCCCCCAAAAAACATTGCAACGATTGGTACCGACCCTCGTCGAGGCCATACCCCGAGCACCCACTCATTGCGAAATTGGCGTGAGAATGTCCCTCTGGGGTGCCGCCGTGACTACCGCTCTGCGGGCTCAAAAACGGGCTATGGATAAATCTGCTGTGGGCATTGTTCAGTATCTCGTGCCTGGCCGAAAGCACCTGGCCACCACTCCCACAACCGCCCCCAGAAGTCGTGGAAATCTGGAGAGCTGCCCATTGGTCAAAGGGCCATGCTCCGCTGATTGAAGAAGATCAAGCAACAACCCCATGAGACAGCGGCACCCCTGCAAGGGGGCGCCAATCGGTCCGCCGATCGATGAGGAGCAGGATGACAGAGGAGGGGCAGCCAGAAGTTGCAAACGGTGTCCCTGGCACGAGGCGTCCCTATCTTTTCGTTCCTTCTTGGAGCCCCTGAGCCCCCATGGGCCTCGCGAGGGGTGCTCCGGAGAGCGTCGGGGCCTCCCGAGACATCCCGGGGGCACCTTGGGCTAGGAAAACCTTCGGCAACACCCGAGAAGGGGATGAAGGGGAAGAGTGGCGCCGCCGACGCCCCAGCCGGGCCTCTCCCCTGAGAAGGGGGTGGGCCTCCAGCCGGCGGCGTCTCCGCGGCGGCCGATGCCGGCGGCTTCCCGGCGGAGGGTACGCCGAGGCCTGCGGCGAGCTGGCGGCCCCGCCATGGGCACCGCTGTTTTGTTTCCCCCACCCCGCAGGCTAGGGTTGGTACATCGAACAAGAAGCCCGCCCATCAGCGCTGCATACCGCGGCCGCACAGGCCCCAGGACCCTCAAGTGTTCCGAGTCTCATGCCTCGCCAGCCCTGCATACCGCGGCCGCCAGGCCCCATGCGTCATGCCGTCCACGCACATCAATAACACTCATCCAGAAGCGGCACCAATAGCATACCTCAGGGCAGACATCAAGAATATACATCAAGGACGCGAATCAAGAACAGGTGTCAAAGACAGACAAGAAAGACAGACGTCACACCATCAGTCAAAACCATACAAGAAAAGCGTACACCATTCACATAAAGCACAACGCACGCCAACCCTATGCGCACAAATCATATGCCAAACTCAAATACGGAGAAGGACACGCATTACACACAGCAAGAACATGCGTCACGGACTGGCACCAACAACAGACAGCACAGCAGTCACCAATGGCATGATCAAGAATGTACGGCAAAAAAGACCGTACACTAATAGCATGCACCAAACACACACGCACACACACACACACATCAGCATCGCATACCAAAGCATAAGCAGACACCAGATACACGCACCAAGAGCAGACAACTCTCTACACGTTGAGAACAAAAATGAGGAACGTAGACGCGGGATCAACGCCGAGAAAACGACTCCGATCAACAACGTGCATCCATACAAGACACCAGCATCACAGATCAATAACAACAATAACATGCGCCACTGCATAACACAATCATCAAAGCCACTATATGGACACACACTATAAATCTAAACATACACATCCAATACATATCGATGTCACAAACCAAGAGCATGCACCAATCACCGACAGCAGTGGCACGCACACATACCATACACCGATACCACAGCACCAACAACAACATCAGCAACAGCAGCAACATCACCAGCAACAACACGCACCAACATGAGAACCGCACCAAACACATTTAGCTGGGAACCACATCACGGGTAGACGCCAATACTATACGCCAAGAATGTAGACCAAAAACAAAGATCGACGACATGCACCAGTAACATGCACCAAGCCCAAACATCACGAGCCCGCACTAGAGCAAGCATAAGTAACACACACGCACACATCAGCACGGCACGGCACGACAGCCGTGCATACATGGCATACGTCGACAATGCACGATTGCACACATGCAGTAGACATTGAAACTAGTGCAGACACAGCAACACCCATACAAGCCAAGCATCAGTTATCCTGGCAAGAGACCCAACCATATGCAGTTGTGAGTACAGCAGTTCTGATTATCTCTTTTGGTGGAGCTCCCTAGCCGCATGCAAACGCAGCCACTGAGGCCTTCGGTGGAGCCCCCTCTGGGGCCACGAAGCATGTGAGAGGTGAGTCAAGATGGGGGTGTGACCGCATGCGGCCACAATTACTGAGGCCGTCGGTGGAGCTTCCTATGGGGCCTCGAAACGTGTGAGGAGTGTGCCGAACTAGGGGGCGGAACCGCATGCGAACTTTGCCCCTGGGGCCTTCGGTGGAGCTCGCTATGAGGCCACGAAGCGTGTGAGGGGTGAGTCAAGATTGGGGTGGTACCGCATGCGTTCGCAGCCACTGGGGCCTTCGGTGGAGCTCCGTATGGGACCACGAAACTTGTGAGGGGTGTGCTGAAATGGGGGGGGTGCGCACACGAACGTTGCCACTTGGGCCTTTGGTGGAGCTCCCTATGGGGCCACGAGACGTGTGAGGAGTGTGCCCGCATAGGGGGCGGATCCGCATGCGAACGCAGCCACTGGGGCCTTCGGTAAAGCTCCCCTTGGGGCCAGGAAACGTGTGAGGGATGTGCCAAAATAAGGGTCGAACCGCATGCGACCGCAGCCACTGAGGTTTTCGGTGGAGCTTCTTAGGGGGCCACGAACCGTGTAAGGAGTGTGCCGGCATGGGGGCGGGGCCGCCATGCGAACTTTGCCATTAAGACCTTCGGTGGAGCTCCCTATGGAGCCACGAAACGTGCGAGGGGTGCGCCGAAATGAGGCAGGGCTGCCATGCGAACTTTGCCACTGGGGCCGTCGGTGGAGCTCCTTTCGCGGCTACGAAACGTGTGAGGAGTGTGCCGAAATGGGGGGGGGCGCCATGCGAACTTTGCCACTGGGGCCTTCGGTGGAGCCCCCTATGGGGCCACGGAACGTGTGAGGGGTGTGCCGAAACAGATACATGCGGAGGGCAAAGGCAAGGGGGGGAGGAGGGAGGAGGGGGAGGAAGGAGGCGGGAGGAGGAGAACGCGGGGCGCCGTCTCTTCAGAACGAAGACCCAACACCACAGGATGGTTGGGAAAAACATGTGGGATCCTCATGCGCAGACACAAATATGAAGCTCAGCACACGGTAGAGCAGCACGCGACCGCGTTCGAAACCACTCGCAGCAGCTCCCTGATGAGGACCGCCTGATGGCCTTGTGCGCTGATATCTCTCATCCTCCCCCCTGCTCCTGCTCATGCTGCTGTTCCTCATCGTCCTCCTCCCTCCTCTGTCTCGTACTCCTCCTCCTGGTCATCCTCTTGCTCCTCCTCCACCTCCTCCTCCCTCAATGTACACAGCCTCCCTGTTTCTAACCGCGCACAACACGACGGAGTCTTTTTGAGGGCTCCAGGTCCGCTATGCCCCCCCTCCGCGAACAGAGAAACATCAGCGCAACGCTGGCATTGCTTTCAGATCGACGCTTTGCTCCCGTCGTTCAAAGCTGCGCTGTCGCCCCAGCGCGGGCCACAAATCTGGATCCGAATATGTCTTCGGTGTTGTCGTCTCGCTCATTCCGAATCCTCCGCGCTTCCACTGGGCCTCCTGCTCCTGTCGCTCCTCCTGCTCCGGTTCCTGCTGCTGATATTCCCGTCCTCCTTCCTCATTCGCATCCTGCCCCTCCCGCTCTTTATCTTGCAGCTCTGCCACCCCCTCTTCCCCCCATGCACGCAGCTCAACTTTTCTGATTGCGCCTCCAGGTCCGGTATGAGACCCATCAGCGGATAAAGTCAAATCAGCGCAATGTGAAGGGATTGGTGGGAGGGGTAGGATGTCAGATACGGCGCGAGCGCGCCTAGCTTGACATGACAACTACTCTCCTCTCTCTCTCTCTCTATCTCTCTATCTCTCGCTCTCTCTCTCTCTCTCTCTCTCTCTATCTCTCTCTCTCTCTCTGTATCCTGTCCGAGCGATGCCCGTCCTCCCCCGCATACTGCTTTCAAAGTATGGTAGTTCGAAGCAGGATCTGTCGTATGGTTTTGTCGAATGGAATGTCTCCAGTGTTTCAGACTGGTGCTCCTGCTGCAGTGTTGGCTTCGTTTTAGCATCGACGCTTTGCTCCCGTCGTCCAAACTGGCGCTGTCGTCTCGGCGCGGGCCACAATTATAGATCCGAACCCTTGCTCGGTGTTGTCGCCCCGGAGATCTCCCCTCCTCCGCTTTCCACTGGTGTTCCTGCTCCTCGTGCTACTCTTAGCCCTGCTCCTGCTGCTGCTGCTGCTGCTGTTCCTCCCTCTCCTCCACCTTCCTCTTCCTCATGCTCATCGTCCTGCTCATTCTCTTGCTCCTCATCCACCTCATCCACCTCTCCTCCAGTTCGCACAGCTCCCAATCATTTGCCTGCGCCTGAAGAATACGATGGGGTCCTTTTGAGGGTTCCAGGTCCGCTATAACACCCGTCCGCGAATAGAGACACATGATCGCAACGCTGGCGCTGCTTTAGGATCGACGCTTTGCTCCCGTCGTTCAAAGCTGCGCTGTCGCCCCAGCGCGGGCCACAAATCTGGATCCGAATATGTCATCGTTGTTGTCGTCCCGCTCATTCCGAATCCTCCGCCTTCCACTGGGCATCCTGCTCCTGTCGCTCCTCCTACTCCGGTTCCTGCTGCCAATGTTCATCCTCGACGTCCTACTTCCTCATCCGCATCCTGCCCCTCCTGCTCTTTATCTTGCAGCTCTGCCACCTCCTCTTCCCCCCCATGCACGCAGCTCAACTTTTGTGATTGCGCCTCCACGTCCGCTATGAGACCCATCGTCGGATAAAGTCAAATCAGCGCAATGGGAAGGAATGGGTGGGAGGGGTTGGATGTCAGGAATGGCGCGAGCGCACCTAGCTTGTCCCCCCCCGCCCCCGACGCTCCCCCCCCCCTTCCAAATTTCCGCTGTTCCCTTTCCCCCTCTCATTCCCCTCCGCCCCCTTCTCGACCTCCCCACCAAAGGCGCGCGGCAAGGAACCCTGGAAAGAGATTCGAGAAGGGTGCACAGCGCAGCTTTCGACACGGAGCTCCCCATGAGCGCATGGTTTTTGTCCCCAGCAGTGCTTCGCCAAAAGCTTCTTGCAATGGCGAAGTAATGACAACAAAAAGTCCCATAAAAGGGGACGGGGAGCCCTAGGACCTAAGACGCTTGGTCCGGCGACTGGTTCGCCTGAGAATACCTCACACTGAAGGGGCACTGGGACACAAACACACACACAAATACACTGGGACACAAAGACACTGGGCACCTCTCACGCCTGAGAATACCTCACACACATATACACACAAATAAAAAGATCCCCCGTTTTTTCATATATTTTCTGGGTTTTCGTCTTCCCCCCCCCACTTCCCATATTTTCCCATATTTCCCAGGGGAATCGACGATTAATTATGTCTGTGTTATTTCCCTCCTGACGCATTGTACTCAGGAATCGTGTTCGTATCTCAGTGTCGGCTAGGTTTTTGGTCCGGACGCCCACGATCCCTGGGAAAACAAATAAGATTCACATGGTAACGCTCTCACCCCTGCTCTGGCTCGGGTTCGCATGAGACTTCCGCACGCTCCCGATGACGTTTCGCTGGAGGGCGTCATGGCGGTAACAAACGACATAAGAATCCCACGGAAGGGGAACAGGGAGCTCTAGACCGCCCAGTCCGGCAACTGTTTCGCCCAAGACTTCCTCACAGTTTACTCAGGAATTCGTGTTCTCGGCCGTTTCGCCCAAGGCTTCTTCGCAATTGATTCAAGGATCGTGGTCTCCCCTCCATCCCAGCTACCACAGGTAGACGGGGAATCCGAGACCACACGATCCAGCAGCCGCTTCTCCTGAGACCTCCTCGCAATTTCTAAAGGAAATGCTCTCTCGACGCACTGCCGGCTACATTCCCTACTAGCGTTCGCTCGAGGGTTCTAGTGGTAGTAAAAGAAAGAACCATACAGGATTCCCACAGGGAGACGGGGAGCTTGAGACCGCCCAATCCGGCAGCCGGTTCGCTCAAGATGTCCTCACAATGTATTCCGGAAGCGTGCTCTCGCTTCAATGCCGGCTACATGTTTGTCCGGACGGCAACGACCCCCGCGGGTCGAACAGGCCGCACAGCTCCCACAGGTCCCACAAGTCTCACAGGTCCCCCAGATCCCACAGGTCCCACAGGTCTCACGGGTCCCACAGGTCCCGTAGGTCCCACAGGTCTCGCAGGTCTCGCAGGTCTCGCATGGCTCACAGTTCCCACAGGTCTCACGTGCCTCACAAGCCCCACAGGTGCCATTCATCCCACAAGTCCCGCAGGTCCCGCAGGTCGTACAAGTCGCACAGGTCCCTCACCAATCTGGGCGCGAACAGGCCCGTGATACACCCCCTGGCGGCCTCCCTTTGGGAGGCCCAGGCGTCATGCCTGCTACATTGCAGTGATCGGAGCGTCACTGTGAATGTGAGCGCGTCTGAGGACGAGTGAATTTGAATGTAAGTTATTCTGGGTACTGGTGAGGCTCGGCACGAATGAGTGCGAACATGAGCAAGTCCAAGCCCGAGTGAGTCTGAGGATGAGTGATTCCGATAATTCGAGACTGCGACTGCAAGTGAGCCTGAATTAAAGTGCGCCCGAACTTGAGTGAGTTTGAGTGTGAGTGAGTCTGACTGTGAGCGGGTCAGACTTCGCGCGAGTCTGCATATGGATATGAGGGAGTATGGCTTGAATGAGCTTCGAACTGAATTCGAGTACGAGCGACCCAAAGTATGCACACGCGATATCAGCGTGGCGGAAAGAAAAGAAGGCTGGTGGAAAGGCGGGGTGGAAGGAAGTGCACGCATCACAACGAAAGCGACACCGCAATACCTCGAGTGTGTGGGGGACGACAAGCAATGCTGCCAGGCTCTTCGTGACTCCATCGCTTCTCGGCTCGTGTGCGACAGCCGCGCAGAACATGAGCATCGTGAGGTGTGTGTGGGTGTGTGTCGATACGGCCGCCATGCAGAAAGACAGACCATCACGGATTGGCAAGTTCTTGAAACAGAGACACATGGCACTCATCATGCTGCTGATACGTGTAACAGCCAGGTGTGCTTCATACCAGTTTCCTTCAAGAGCCATCCTGCTTCAAGGCGCCTGATTGTCGACAGCACGTGCCCAACATGTCTTCCGCCGAGCGTTTTGTATTGCACAAGATGTGGGGTTTACTCCTGACTCTTTCCAGACATCTGACCAGACTGTTTCATCAAACTCGTGCTTTCAAGTGTCGTCTACCTTTTGTCAGAGACGGATGATAACTAACAAACGAGACTGGATTTCGGCGAAAGGTTTCTGACATGCAGCACACAGAGAACTGTACGACAAAGGTCCATCCGCTGTTGGAAACTGAAATATGTTGTTTCCTTGCACCCTTGCCCCGGTTGCCGTGGCTATAGGTAACGAACCCGTTGCTCAGACCGACCTCCGTGCGTCGTCTACGTCGGCAACCGCACTATGCACTCAGTCGCCTCCGTGTGTCACAGGAATCGCAGCTCACGACTGCGAACATAATCCGGCTGCCTCCAGGCCGAGTGCGCCGCACCGCGCGGTTGCCCCCATCCTCCTCCTTCTTGCCTTCCCTTCCCCACTCAACTCCCGAAATGCCTCGCGGCTTCGAGGCTGGATTTTGCAGCGCATTTCACCTCGTATTTGGGCCGTACCCCTTCTCCTGCTGCTGAGGACTCCCTGTTCCCCGTCCGCGGCCTACAGCCACGGCTCCCTGTCGCCGGCTCGGCCTGGGCAGGGGCGGGCGGCGGCGCCCGATCCCAAGACCTCCAACGAGGGAAGGCGTCGAGAACACTCTGCTCTCGCGCGCGCGGTGCAGGTGCGACCGAGCGCTAGCCCGACCCGACTTGCGACTATGAGGGCTCCAATGGCGTGGACCAGAGCGGTTTGGCCCACGGGGTTCAGGACTGTCAGAGGCCAGAGCGGGGGAGACAATGACAAGCAGGAGCGCAGCACCATCAGGTCGGGAGCACAGGTGGCTCAGCAAGGAGGAGGCAGAAGCAGGAGGGGGCGTGAAAAGTGAACCACATAGAGCGACTCGAGGCTTTGAGGAAAGAGGCAAGGAATAATGACACAAGAGGGAGGATGGAAGGACGAGTGTGGAAACGACATGAAAGAGAGCACGTTTCACGGGCGCTTGCCTTGGGAACGTTCGGCGGCGTGTTTCGACGCGGGGCGTGGTTCCCCCCCAACACTCGGCGCCGTCGATCAGAACCAGGGAGCTTCCCCTCCCTGGCCCCCCCCCCCTCCCGACAACCCCCCCGCCCTCCCAAGGGGGAGGGGGGTCCAAACCCCCCTCCCCCCCCGGCGCTGGCGCCGGCGCAGGCGCTGGCGGCCGCCAGCAGCGCCGACGGCGGGGACGCAGCGACGATGACCAGAGGGGGCCGAGGGAAGGGGGATGGGGGGGGTCCAACCCCCCCTCCCGTCGCGCCGGCGCCGGCGCTGGCGCTGGCGGCGGCCAGCAGCGCCGACGGCGGGGACGCAGCGACGATGACCAGAGAGGGCCCAGAGGCCGCAGAAGGAACACACTAATCGCCGTATCGAGCCCTCGCCCCCAGAAGCCACCGAGAGGCCCTCAGGAAAGTCCACGAGGTTTCACACATGCTCTGGCCCCCGAGACCCTCCTGACGAGACCTCAAGAGGCATCCAGTAGAACTCTGCCCCAAAGCCAAAACACGATGGCGGAAAGAGCCGAAGGCCACACCACCACCACCACAAACCACAACACCACCACCACCACCGCCACCACCACCACAACAACCACCACAACCCACCACAACCCACCACCACCACAACCACCACCACCATCACAAACCACTACACCACCACCACTAAAAACGCCACAACCACCAGCACCACCACAACCTACCACAACCCACTACAACCCACCACCACCACAACCATCACCACCATCACAAACCACTACATCAATATCAGCACCATCACCACCACCGCCGCCACCACAACCATCACCACAACTACCACCACCACAAATCACCACACCACCACAACCACAACAACCACCACCACTACCAATACCACCACCCACCACCCACCACCACCACCAGCACCGCTACCAGCAGCACCACCACAATCGTCAACACCACAGCCCACCACCATCACCACCACCAACAACAACAACAACAACAACCACGCAACCACCACCACCACCACCGCCAACAAATACCATCACTACCAACACCTCAAACCACCACCACCACCACCAAACCACCACCACAACAACCTACCACCAACCGACAGCCACCACCACCAACAACAACACAACAAACCACCACCACCACCACCACCACCACCACCACCACCACCCACCACCACAACCACCACAACCACAACAAACCATCACACTACCACCACCACCACAACCGCCACAACCATCACCATTACAAGCAGTACAACCCACCACCACCACCACCCCAAACCACCACCACCACCACCGCCACCACCACCACCACCATCACCATCACCGCCTCCACAAACCAACGCCACCACCACCACCACCACGACAAACCAACACACCACAACCGCCACCACCACCGCCGCCACCACCAACACCACTACAAACCACCACCACCCCAAACCACAACCACACCACCACCAAACCACCACCACCACCAGCACCACCACCCACCACAATCACAACCACCACAACAAACCACCACACCACAACCACCACAACAACTACCACCGTCACTACCACCACCACTACCACCACCACCACCACCACCACAAACCACCACACCACCACCACCACGACCACCACCACCACCACCAGCACCGCCAACCACCACAACCACTACCACCACAACAAACCACCACCATAAACACCACAACCAACACCGCCGCCACCACCACCACCATCACAACCCGCCACCACCACCACAACCACTACCACCACCACAAACCACCACGACAAACCACCGCATCACCATCGTCACCACCACCACCACCACCACCTTAACCAACCACCACCACCACCACCACAACTATCACCACCACCACTACCGGGAACCTAAAAAACACCGCACCACCACCACCGCCACCACCACCACCACAACCTGCCAACACAACCACCACCACCACCACCACAAACCACCACCACCACCACCCACCACCACAACCACCACCACCACAACAAACCATCACACCACCACCCCACCACAACCGCCACAACCACCACCACTACCAGCAAAACAACCCACCACCACGACCACCACCACCACCACCGCCACCGCCACCGCCACCACCACCATGACCACCTCCAAAACCACGCCACCACACCACCGCCACCACCACCACCACGACAAACCACCACACCACAACCGCCACCACCACCACCACCACTACAACCCACCACCACCACCACAAACCACCACCACCACCATCACCACCCGCCACAATCACAACCACCACAACAAACCACCACACCACAACCACCACAACCACTACCACCACCACAACACACCACCACCACCACCACCACCACAAACCACCTCACCACCGCAACCACGACCACCACCACCACCACCACCACCAGCACCAGCACCACCCACCACCACAACCACTACCACCACAACAAACCACAACCAAAAACACCACAACCAACACCGCCGCCACCTCCACCACCACAACCCGCCACCACCACCACCACAACCACTACCACCACCACAAACCACCACGACAAACCACCACATCACCATCGCCACCACCACCACGATCTTAACCCACCACCAACACCACAACTACCACCACCACCACTACCAGAAACCCAGAAACCACCGCACCACCACCACCGCCACCACCACCATCACCACAACCTGCCACCACAACCACCACATTCAACACCACCACCACCACCACCACCACCAACCACCACACCACAACCGGCACCACCACCAACACCGCCACAACCACCACTACCACCGTCACAGCCCACCACCACCACCACCACCACCTCAGAGACGCCCCAAGAGACGCCAAGAGGCGCCCCGGAGGCTTCACAAATGCCCTTCAGAAGCCCCCGAGAGCCCTCCGACGAGACTCCAAGAGGCATCCATTAGGACTTTCACCCAAAACCAAAGCACGGTGGCGGAGCGTCGACGTCGTCGTCACCGTCGTCGTCCGCCTAGCGCCCGCCACTGAAGGCATCAGAGAACTCCTCGAAATCCGAATCGTGGGCCTCTTCAGGCCCATGGTCAGCCTCCTTGCGCAGGAGTCTTGCCCCTTCGGCGCGAATGCACCTCGGCTCGTGACGTCATCCCCCCCCCCCCCGAGGAACCCACGCCACGCAGCCCCCCTCCCCCGCCGTCCGCCGTCCTGAGCCGAGGCACTGGGGGCGGGCTCGCCAGAGCCAAAAAACGAGGCCAGGCGCAGCCGAACCGCCAGCGGAACGCCGACTGGGGTGTCGAGGCATAGGTCCTTCAGGTCCGCCTTGTAAGAAGGGTACTTGCCAGCCTAGATCAATGCCAGCTGGTACTTCAGGCCAGAGCCCGCGAGCTTGCGGAGACACGGCGCCGCTCAGCATTGAAAAAGACACCACAGGCACAGCAAACATTGATGGCCTTGCCATCATCCCGACCCGATCTGGCGCACACTGTGGCGTGAAGAACCGAGTGGCCGTTGAAATTGTACCCAACATCGCGGTACTCGTCGAAGCCGTCCGCTGAGGCGAAGGAGAAGTAGGGGATGGGGTGGGTGGGCCGGTTCGAACTCCCCCCTCCATCCAGGGGGTGTGGTCCGGTTCCACCCCCCCCTCAAGCGACCACAGAACGAGGTCTTTCTGATATTAAGGAGCGAGCGGAAAGGAAGGAAGCGATCCGTTTACGATCGGCTTTGTCGTATGAGGTCCTCTGGCAAAGACGCTGTCCCGAACCCTGGCCGGCTCCCTCCTCACTCCCGCCATGGAGTCAGGACGAGGGGATTGAGGGGGGCACCACTTAGTAATGGTAAAAACAATTACCCGCTGGCTTACCCAACCCATCTGCAACAAGTGACCGTAGCAATGGGACCATGTTGTACGGATGATGGCATGACATGCTCGCCTCACGGGACAGATTTGAGTGAGGCAGCACCTCACCGCGGGACATCCCATGAGACAACGAAAGTGGCGACAATTGCGCAGTTGGCAGTTCTGCTGGACTTCCTTTTTCACGTCGCAACGCGGCAGAGGCAGTCTGCACGCGCGCACAAGCGGTCCGAGGCTGGAACTTCCAGGCGTCCGCGAAACTGACGACTGTTTCGCATTTAGCACTTGGCACCACTCGTGGGGGGTGAAGTCCCTTCTGGATCTGCGCAAGACACCACTTTGCCAGCACCCACAAAGAGCGAGGTCCCGCGTGGATATGCGTAGGACACCACTCCGCTGAACCTCCCAGGAGCCCGGGAAAATAGCGACAATTACATAATTAACACCACCCAGGGAGGGCAAGCTTGGATCAGCGTACGACGCTGCTCCGCTGGACCTCCAGCAGCCCACGAAAGTGGCGACAGTCGCTCAATTGCTCAATTGCCAGCACCTTGGACGGACGAGGTCCTGCTCGGATCTGCGTAGGACACAATGGCCCACGGATGTGGCGACGGTTCCGCAGTCGACGGCTCCCGGGAAGGGCGAGGTCTCTTTTGGATTTGCGTAGGACACCACTCCGCTGGACATCCCAGCGGCTCACGAAAGCAGCGACAATGGCAGCACCCAAGAAGGAGGAGGAAGGTAGGA